GAAGAGTGGCGAGTTTGAAGTTGGCCCCAGCCAAACTGCAACAAAAAAATAGCTGGGCATTCTGGTGGGCACTTGTAATCCCAGCTACTCGGGAGGCTAAGGCAAGACAATCACTTAAGCCCAGGACTTGGAGGTTCCTGTGAGCTGTGATGCCACAGCACTCTACTGAGGGCGATAAAGTGAGACTGTCTCTAAAAAAAGCTTAAACAACTACATACTTTCTGCCTTCTTTTGCACTGAGATGCTTTTATGATTCCTTTGCATTTTAGCTCTTTTTTTTTTTTTTTGCAGTTTTTGGCCAGGGCTGGATCCGAACCCACCACCTCCGGCATATGGGGCCAGCACCCCACCTCCTTGAGCCACAGGTGCTGCCCCCTAGCTTCTTTTTTGACTCATTAGTTATTAACTCTTTGTTTTGCTATTTTGGTGCTTCTCCTCGGGTTTATAGAATATAATTTTAATGTTTCAGAGTCTACTGATATTACACCCCTTCGTGTACAATATAAAAACCTCACAATAACATATTTCCATTTTTATGCTATTGTTGTACGTTTTACTTCTACATACACTGTAAACACTATATTACATCATTATTAAGTAGCCAATTGTGCTTTTTCCCATTTTTAATATTCTGGTAAAATATATGAGATAAAATTTACCACTTTAATCCTTTTAAGTGTACATTCACTACTTCTGTGTATTGTGAATAATATTCCCATGATTGTGTGACCATCTCCAGAACATTTCACCTTCACAAACTGAAACTCTGCACACATTAAATAATAACTTCCCATTTCCCCTTCCCTAGTCTCTGCTCACCCCCACACTGCTTTCTCTATGAATCTCTGCACGCTGGGTGCCTCATGTAAGTGCAACCACACAGCATTTGTCCTTTTGTGTCTGGTTATTTCATTTAGCATAAAGGTTCATTCCTGTTACACCATGTATATAATTCCTATTTATGGCTTTTTTATTCTCTGTACATATATATAATATTTTCTTTATTCATTCCTTCATCGATGGACATATTTAACTTGTTTCTGCTTTCAGCTGTTGTGAATAATGCAGGTATACAGCCAATTATCTATTTTCTTTTTTTCAAGACAGAGTCTTACAGGGCCGAGCGTGGTGGCTCACACTCATAATCTCAGCTCTTGGGAGGAGGTGGGTGGGTGGACTGCCTGAGCTCACTGAGGTCGAGACCAACATAAGCAAGAGCAAGCCCCTGTATCTAAAAAACAGCCATGTGCTGTGGTGGGTGCCTGTAGTCCCAGCTACCTGGGAAGCTGAAGCAAGAGAATAGCTTGAGCTCAAGTGTGACCAAGTGAGACTCTGTTTCAGAAAAAAAAAAAAAAAGAAAAACAGAGTCTTGCTCTGTCACCCTGGGTAGAATGCTGTGGTGTCATCATAGCTCACAGCAACCTCAAACTCCAGGGCACAAGCCACTCTCTTGTCTGGCTTCCTGAGTAGCTGGGACTACGGGTGTGTATCACGACACCTGGCTAATTTTCCTATTTTGAGTAGAGACAAGGTCTTCCCCTTGCTCAGGCTGGTCTCAAGCTCTTAAGCTCAAGCAATTCCTGCCTTAGCCTCCCAGAGGATTAAGCCCCCAGTCACTACGCCTGGCCCCAATGACCTTTTGAAGAGATTTAAATAATAAAATATGCTTTTGTCTATGTAGCTATCCCTCCCTTGGCTCTTCATCTTTTGGAAATGTTCACTTTTTCATGTGGTTTAGGTTTCCTTCTGCCTCGATGACTTACTTTAACATTTCCTACGGTGCACAGCTTTAGGAATGTCTGAAAAAAAATCTTCATTTCACTTTGATTTTTGAAAGATTTACTCGCCAAGTATAGAATTCTAGGTTGACAGTTTTTTCCTCCAGCACTTGAGAGATTTTGCTCCACTGTCTTCTCACTTACATTGTTTCTGACAAGAAACTGACGTATACTCATCTCTGTTCCACTGTGTCTTTTTGCTCCTTACTACTGGTGCTGAGCAAGCAATTGGATGACGACATGCCTTGCTATAGTTTACTTCATGATTCTTTTGCTTGGGGTTTGCTCAGCTTCTTGGATCTATACATTTACTGTCTCATCAAATTTGGGGAAGTGTCAGTCATTATTATACATTGTTAACATTTTTTATTTCTCCCCTTCTGTCCTCTCCCTCAGGGACTTCAACTGCACGTATATTAGGCCCCACCAAGCTGAACAGGTTCCTCACGCTTTGTTTTGTCTTGAGTCTTTTTTTTCTCTTTGTGTTTAATTCTGGATAGTTTTATTGCTGTATCTTCAAATTCACTACTCTTTCTTCTGCAAAGTTTAATCTGCTGTTAATCCCTTTGGGTGTTTCTCTCATTGTGATTTTCATCTCAATGAAAATTCATTTCTTCATTCCAAGTTCATGCAGGTCGTTTCTAAATCTCCCATGTGTTTAACACGTTCAGTCTTTCCCCTACGTTTCTGAAGATATGGAATACAATTATAATATTGTTTTAATGACCTTGTCTGTTTCCTGTTAATTCTATAATCTGGGTCAGTTCTAGGTCAGTTTGAGTGATTGATTTTCTGCTCATTATGGGCTGTAGTCTCCTGTTGTTTTGTATGTGTGGTAACCCTTCCCTCCTTTCCTTCCTTTTTTGGGAGAAGGGGTCTCACTCTGTTGCTCAGGCTGGAGTACAGTAATGCAATCATGGCTTGCTGCAAGCTCAAAGTCCTGGCCTCAAGAGATCCGCCTCCTGAGTAGCTAGGACTATAGGTACATGCAACACACCTGGCTAATTCCTCTATTTTTTGTAGAGACATGGTCTTGCTATCTTGCCCAGACTGTTTTCAAACTCCTGACCTTAAGTGATTCTCCTGCCTCAGGCTCCCAAAGTGCTGGGTTTACAGGGGCAAGCGATCACATCTAGCCCATCTGATAATTTTTGATTGGATAGCATGCATTCTGAGTTTTACCTTCTGTGTTATAGATTTTTTTATATTCCTATAAACATTTTTGAGCTTGATTTGGGGATGCTGTTAGGGTTACTTGAAAGGAGTTCAATTTTCTCTGGTTGTGCTTTTTAGATTTACTGGGTAGGATAACAGCAATGTTTAGTTAAGAGCTAATTGTCATTGGTGGATATATTTAACTTGTCCACCTTCATCAGTACTCATCAGTACTCTACTCAATGCCTCATGAATCTCTACAAGACCCTTGTCAGTATTGTACTCAATGCCGACAAGTACTCTACTCAACGCCTACTCAATCTCTACTCTACAAGACCCTCATCAGTACCCTACTCAATGCCTCATGAATTATGAAGCTTTCCTTTCTGGCTAGTTGGAACAGGTACTATTTGCAACCCTGTGTGAGTAGTAGAAATTGTTACTTCTAATTGTTTGGGGTTGTTCTTTCCTAACCTTGAGTTATTTTCTCATATGCATGTGCTGATGGGTATTTAGCTGAATTTTCAAAGTGGTCCATCTAATAATCTCTGGACTTTTCTTATGGCACCACGTTCTTTTCTCTGGTATCTTACCCTGTGAAACTAGCTGCTTTGGTCTCTCCCAGCTCCTCTCTGCAACAAGGAGTCTACTTCTGGCTTCCCTTTACTCCTACCACAGACTAGAAAGTTTCTCAAGGCAGAAAACAGAAAATGGTAAGGCTCACTTGATTTTTCTCAGATTCAGGGATTCCTGTCCTTCCTTGATGTCCACTGACTTGAAAAACCATTGTTTCACCATCTTACATCCTTTTTACATTCATTTTAATGACTATACTGTACTCTCTTGTGTACATAATTAATCACTCACTGATTCATATTTACAATTTCCAGTTTTTTGTTATTACAATGTACAAAACTGTACACACATATATCTTTGGATATCAGTGCAAATATATTTTTAGGGTAAATCTGAGTTGTGGAATCCAAGATTAAGATGTATGGACATCTTACATTTGGACAGATAATGCCAAATTGTCCATTTAAAAGGATTATATCTTATACTCCTACCAATACTGTTTCTTTAAATCCTTGCAAACATTGGTCAATACTTCAAAGTCCGCCTTACTTATAGGTGAAAAAATCTATTTTCATTATTTTGATCTGAATAATACTGTAATTACATATTTTAAAAAAAAGATTTGAAATGAAGCATCTATAAAAAACAACCTACCTGTGGACCATTGTTATGAAGTAATTCTTTAACAATTTTCTGAAGTCTTCTTTTGTGTACCGTCACTTATTTCAATATCTCTTCTAGGCAACATTTTTCTTAAATTCACCATTTTATTAATATTTGTTAATTTATTTAGATAATTTTACAATAATTTCAGTTTCTTTTCTCTATATTCTTCTAAATGAGTATTTAAAGGTTTTTAAAATACAAACCCTTGGCATCAAGGAAGCCCTTCACCTTGATATTCACTTTCTTTAGGAAGGCTTAACAATACAATTTCTGTCACCTCAGCCATTGCAACAATGCTTCAGCACAGACAGTATAGCTCACTGACAGTGGTCCTGGCAGGCACCACCAATAAGGACAGATGACAGTATAGCTCAGCTAGTTCTGTTCCAATTGTTATATTTTATTATAGGTATACTTAAGTGAGTTTCACTGACTCGGTCTTTTTCTCTTTTCCTTTTTCTTTTCTTTTCTTTTTTTTTTTGAGACAGAGCCTCAAGCTATCGCCCTGGGTGAACTGCCATGGCATCACAGCTCACAGCAATCTCCAACTCCTGGGCTCAAGCGAGTCTCCTGCCTCCGCCTCCCAAGTAGCTGGGACCACAGGCGCCCGCCACAACGCCTGGCTATTTTTTGGTTGTAGCCGTCATTGTTGTTTGGCGGGCCCAGGCTAGATTCGAACCCACCAGCTTAGGTGTATGTGGCTGGCACCTTAGCCACTTGAGCCACAGGTGCCAAGCCGCCGTCTTTTTTTCTAAACCACCTTCTCATCTCCATCCCTGAATCGGCCTTTTCTTTCCGAGATGATCTGTTCCCAGCTTGCCTTACCTTACGGACGTGACAAGAGAAGAGGACGTTCATGTACTTGTCCTTCCGTTTCAGTTCATTTGCCACAGGGACAAAAGTGCCTGAGGTCTGAGGCATATCTGGCTTCTGAAAGAAAAAGGAAACAAGTTAAAATGAGGATGCTTTGCATTTAGATGCAAAGGCAATCCTTTAGGATACCACTTTATAACTATACTGATACAGTTTCACACATGTACTTTTTATCTCCTCACTCCAGACAGTAAGCCACTAAATGGCTGTCATCACATCAAGAGTCCTACAAAATCTTAAGAATAGAGAATGGAAGAGAGGATGAAATGTAGCTCCAGGAAAAATTACTAGTAAGGTGGCAATTAAAAACAGTTGCTACATTATAGCAGGGAAGGTTTAAATGGGCAAAAGCCAGGTTATACAGTGTACTTAATACAAATGGATATAATACAGAGAACCCTTTTAAAAGTGAGGGAGACATTAAATATATTCAGAAACAATAAAATCTTTTAATTTAGTGTCTCTCACAGAAATTTAGTTTTGAAAGGTGTTTTTTTATTTTCTGTAATTCTGGAAGAAAAATTCTTCCCTGTAAAGGGAGCAGGAATAGATTGCACTTCGTTTTCTTGAACTTACTGAAGCAAGGTAGTTGCCTTCCCAGGCTCTCTGGAGCCCAAGGTCAGCCCTTTGACCTTTCAACATTTCCATGGCGGCAACCTTTGCCCTGACTTGGGGCAGGTCCGAAGCTGAAATGCTCTTGATGAGCTGGTATGCTCTCCACCTACAAGTAAACAAAATGAATTAGACCTTAGAAATATGATCTCATTAATTCCTAAAAATAACCGAACCTGCCACTAAAGTAAATGAAACCAAAATACTGCATGCTACACTAAATAAAAAGAAAAACGCTTCCAAAATGCACAGAGATGTCGTTAAAATACAGTTTTATATAGGTAGATATTTTCTAAAGCTTGCATTGTTGTTCATGTGTTTTGAAAGCAACTAAAGCTTAGTGATACATGGGCTCTTGTAATATTAATATTTAGGGCACTGATAATTTGGATTTGTCATTCACTCAATCAGCTAATGTTTTCTAGGCACCTGCTGAATTCCAGGTGCTGGTCTAGGCAGTGGGGGCACAACAAGCAGCAAAACAGACAACGGTTCCCTCTGTCAGGCGCTCGTATTCCAGAGAAGTGACAGGTAAAAACACTTGATGGGTAGACATACAGACTGTATGGTGGTTATCTGTGCTATGGAGGAAAACAAGACAAGGCAAGGAGGGCAAGGAGGGCAGGGAGTGCAGCAGAGGGAAGGAATGGGGAACAGGCGTGGTGTCTGCAGAGTGGTCCCACCAGGTACCTCCAATAAGGACAGATGAGCTGTAACCACAGGGGAGTGAGGAGGCTGGTCACACAGTGATCTGAGCAACAGTGTTCCAGGAGGAGAGCACAGGATGTGCAGAAGTTCTGGGTTGTGAGCTTGCTTGGTGTGTTCAAGAAGTGACATGAGGAGGGGTGGTCTAAGGGAGAGCCATGAGACCATTTATCCTTGGGAGACTTTGGACTTTACTCTTGAGGAATTGAGAGGCCATGGAAGGCTTTGAACATGTGACCTGACTTACCATGCTTTAAAAGGATCACAGTGATTGCTGTAGGCTGGGATGAGGAAAACCTATTTGGAGGCTGTCTCTGTAATACACTTGCTAAAGCAGTGGTTCTCAACCTGTAGTTGTGATCCATAGGAACTGTATTAAACAGCAGCAGCATTAGGAAGGTTGAGAACCACTGTGTTAGAGGAAGATGGTTTAGATCAGATAGGTGGTAATGGAGTGGAGATAAGAGTTGGTTTGGGATGTGTTCTGAAGGAATAGCCAACAGGATTTGCTGAGGGGTTAGATGGGGGTGCCAGGGAAGATTTAAGGATGACTTCAAGATTTTTTTGGCAGGACAAATGTGAGCATAAGGCCCACCTATTCCTGATTGAGAAAAACAGGTATAAGTCATGCTCTTGGCATCATCTTAGCCCTACCTGGTACTTAGATCCTCTTTTCTGCCACAGAAGCTTAAAGCTTAAAGGGAGGTTGGAAACAAACTGAGAATTTATCAGATGAATATTCAAAGCCCATAGTTCTCAATTTAACAAAATTGAAAATTCCCACTAAAATAACTGAAAGAATATAAAATCAAGGAAAAATCTACGCCATTCTCAGAAAGTGGGAATGATGTCAACAAACCAAAAGGTGGGGTGGCACCTGCAGCTCAGTGGGTAGGGTGCTGGCCACATACACTGGGGCTGGTGGGTTTGAACCCAGCGCAGGCCTGTCAAACAACAGTGGCAACTGCAACAACAACAAAATCTCTGGGGGTTGTGGAGGGCTTCTGTATGGTCCCAGCTACTTGGGGGGCTGAGGTAAGAGAATCACTTAAGCCCCAGAGTCTGAGGTTGCTGTGAACTGTGATGCCATAGCACTCTACTGCCCTAAAAACAAACAAACAAACAAACAAAAAAACAACCAAAAACTGAAAGGTGTGAAGACTTTCAGGAAGATTCAAGGCAGATGGTGGCCCTGGGCTAAAGGACAAGTGGCTCATGGCAACACAGTCCGCTGGGTAGAAGGAGAGGCAGCCTCGGGCATTGATGGTTTTTCTGACAAAGCCCAGAGAATCCTTAGGCCTGAAGCAACAGAAGCCAGTAGCAAGGGCAGGCGGTAAAGGATTTGATGGTGAAAGCTGCACCAGTTCTCCAAATGTGGAATGGCTGGCCCTGGCGAGGTGGGATATCAGCCATGGCAGACAGGGTGTGAGACAGCAGGGCACCAAAGCAATAGACATGAAATAGTAAAGGCTCAACAGAGCAGTGAGTCTTTTCTCTACTAAAGAAATTCTACTTTTCTCTACTATTACCAATGCTCTAGTGAGACAGACTATCCTAAGATCATTCCAGAAGAGGCTGGACAGGTGACAGGTTTGGAACAGTTGGCAGTCAAAGCCACAGACAGTAGTGACAGGCAGACCCTATAATACTCAGTGGCTTGCTAAGCCACTGCCCCAACTTTAGCCCCTGAGCTCCTCATTTCATTACTGGTGGGGAGACATCTTTGCCGTCTGCGCGGCTGTCTCCAGGCTATGTGCCCGGTCAGCCTAGCACTTCATGCCCACAGCAGCGCAGGACAAGGTCCATACCCAACTGACTCCTGATTCCCACAGAGGCACCAGGGGGATCTGGGCCCTGACCTGCACAACCCACAACCACAAAGAGCCATGCAGGCTGCTCATCCTGATCAAGCAAACCGCCATCTATAAATACATATAGCCAACAACAGCTGCGGCCATAAAAACCACCAGCCTCAATGACATGAAAAGGGGACAAAGCTGGGCATGAGGAAGGCCCAATTAGAAAGGATTACTGTGAGGAAAAGCAGTGATCTTAAACATGATCAGATGTGCACTGAGATTTTAGAAAAACAAACACAAGCACCCAACAATCACAATGGAATTCTTCAACACGTTTCTCTCTGTATTCCACAGATCTAACAAGTCCAGAGAGCGACTGGAGCAGGGGCTGGTAAACCACAGCCTGTGCCAAACCAGGCTCATGGTTTGTTTTTGTTCTGCGCATGAGCCAAGAATAGTTTTTACATTTTTACATGCTTAAAAAAACCTAACAAAACATAGGATATGTGACAGAGACCATCTAAAGTCCTCAGAGCCTAAAATACTACTATTTGGCCCTTTCAGAAGAGTCTGCTGAACCCTGAATGAAATGAACACAGTGGTAAGATTCATTCACACTGTGTGTGCATGTGTGCATGTGTACGTGTGTGCATGTATGTACATGTATACGTGCATGTGTATGTGTATGCACATGTGTACAGGTGTGCACGCGTGTGGGTATGTACATGTGTACATGTGCGTGCATGTATATGTGTGCGTGCATATGTGTACATGCGTATGTGTCATGTGTATATGTGTACGTGTATGTGTGTGCGTGTGTACGTGCACGCGTGCACACAAGCCGAGCAGGCATTCTATTTTCAAATGCTGTTGTCTACAAGAGTTGGGAAGGCTGGGACTATTTTTAGTGTTTTCTTGTTTGTCACTACATCCTTGGAACTTAGGTTAGTGCTCGACACAGCAGGAATTCAGTAAATATGTGCTGAATGAGTAAACTAAATTTTATATAAATTAATCAATTCTGGCCCATGAATAAAACATCACAGGCTAAAAAATACTCTTCTGCAGCCATTAAAAAATCTCATGTTGATCTTTATTGTCATGGACAGGTCTCTAAGACTTATTTTTAAGTAAATCACATGACCATACATATAATCCTGCCTGTGTAAAAAATGGGGGGAAAATGCCCAAATGATATGTGACTGTGTAAAAAGCTTGGCATGACTGAAAACTAATATTTATAGTATTATGTCTGAGAATTGATGGTTGAGGTACTTTTCTTTCAATAATTCTTTACTGTTTTGAGTATTTTTCTTTTTATGAGCAATCATTTCTTATTTTTGTAAAAAGCAAATGAGATACATATTAAAGAGTTCTTCCACACTTTTTACTTTATCTTTTGACACCTTCCACTGATTATAAATAGAGCAAAATCTAGAGAAGATAAAATCTGATTTAGCACAGAATTATACATTAGCTCTCTTACATTTAGTGTATCAACTAGTTCACAGTGTTCTTTACAGAAGTCCATGATACCAGATGACTACATTTCAGAACTAGTAGTTTAGTTTATGGGACTAGTGGCCACATCTAAGACAGAGCTAAATATATCTGGTACATTCTAGCAACAAAAAAGCTCAAAAAATGAAGGGAAACGACTTAGGAATAACTAAATACTCAGATCCCAGGCAGGTTATAAAAAAATGATAAGCTGGCAAGGTACCAAATTGTACATGGGCGTTTATTTATTTAGAAGATAGCTTGCTCTAAAACAGTTGTTTTCCCCTTTGGCTGCACTTTAAAATCATGTGGGAAACTTTAAAAAGGATCCCTGCCTGGCCCCACCTCCCCCAGCTCCATTAAATAGGACTCTTGGAGGTGGGGCCTTGGGCGTTTCATAAGCTCCTGATACTCTAAGGTGCAATGAGATTGCGAACCACTGCTCTTAAAGGATTAATGGATTTTCTAGTTTGAGTTATGTATGGTGGTTTTATTTTTTGCTAATGAAAGAAAGCGGAGACGGCATGCTTAGTAGCTTAGCTTAAATATGGCTTGGATCCAGGGGTTGTGGCATACTGTCAACGCTATGGGAAAAATAAATTGACAGTTACATTATTTTGAGAGGTGAGCAGATGCCCTTGGAAAGCAAAATCCACAAAACTGAAGACATAAGGTAAAGGTAAATGTCATAACAGGAAATAGCTGAGCCAAAATCACGGTCTCAGATTAGTGACTTTACATAGTACTGAGTGTACTGCCATCAATGGACGCAGCACATAGTAACAAGTTCTTACCTATTAAAAATTGACTGCAGGAACTCCTGGACATGGTGAAGAACCTTAGGAGGGACTGGCCACGTCACATGCTTCCCGTAGTCCCTCATGGTCCTGACCCCCTGGAAGCGCCGGGCCACCTCATGGATGTAGGATTTCACTTTGTAGCGCCGGTAGTACCTGATTATCGTCAGAGCGGCCCTGGTTCTCTTGTACCGCATACGGGCCAGGGTGCCCCGCCACACCTTCACAGTAGGGAGAGACAAAAGAAAGACATTACCAGATGACTGGGTTGTAGATGACTTTGATATTCTAGAACCTCCTCTGCTTCCAAACTCAACCAGTCAAGCGCACAAAATCAACCCGAACCAAAGCATGTCAGTTCCATTTGCCACCCACAGGTGGTGCTGGGAGTCACACTGGTTCTTGTTTCAGCTGTCCAGCTGTTCATTATTTTATGTATGCTCAAGGGTGGTGGGTTTGAAGCCAAGTCCTGTTTTAACATTACATCACAAAAAGAAGAAAGCCAAAATGCAAATATCGTTGGATAAATATTTTAGGAATGTTGAAGGGAAGCCGGATGAGTCAGAACCAAATGCCGTAAGTATCTATAGTTCTCCTGTGAAACCCAGCTTTACATAGATCATACACGCTGGCCACGGGTGTAACGTCACTTGGGATTTACAAACGGATTTACATGCAGCATGTGCCACCCCCCGCCTTCAGTGCTATGTAAACTCCAAAGAATTTAGATGTGTTCCTGAGGGAAGGGCAAAACAGATTATGTACTAATATCATGTGCATCTTTGTCAAATGTTTCTCAGTGCTCAGAAATCCATCACAAGTAGATTATACAGTAGAACCTCCATAGTTGACACCTTCCTACACTGACCACCTCCTTAAGTTGACCTAATTTTCACAGACCTGACATGCACCACATGTCAAGGGGAGTTCCTTATGTTGACCCCCTGCATATGTGAACCCGTTTGTTACAGTCCATTGGGTGGTCAACTTACAGAGGGCTTACTGTATTATAGGTATATAATAATAGATACACAATATATAAATACATATATACATAATATATAAATGCCCAATACCAACTTCATCAAAGCATGATGAAGTCAGAGGTATATTTTTGGATCCTTTGTCCAAGTACCCATATTTCTCAACTTCTCAAGCAAAGACAAAGTTGATAAAATCTTTAATTAATCATTGGGTCTTCCCCTATATATCCTATCACCAAATTTATTCCTTCCACAATCTTTTCATTATAAACCCCTTTCATCACTTTCTGCTATCAGAGTCTCCAAGACCTCAGGTAACTCCAACTGCTTTCTTTGATAAACTCCTTGAACACATCCTCATCCCTTCCAGTTATTTATCGGTGCTACTTAAATAACCCTTCTGATTCTTAAATTGAGTGTGTTATTCCCTTCTCTAATCCCTGGACTTTGAGGGCCAAGATTTTCAACCTCTAGTTCAAAGCGCTCAGTGTGGTTTTCCCAGACTCCCTCAGGTTTCTTCTTAAATCCCCATCTGTGCCCACCACTCTCAGAAAAACGTGAGCAACGCTTCTTGTATTCAGCTGTTTTAGGTTTGTCTCCATGCAGGCTCCTGAACTTGTACCACATGCTTGCAATGCTCTCCCTTTTCAGCCCACTGCACAATAGAGAGTTGTTTGCATACTACATCTGAGAAGGTCATCAGGGGATCCCAGGGGTCCAGAAAACCCGTAACGTATAAGAGAAACACGACGTACACATATACAGAATTTGAGGTGGCAATCTCGAGTTCGTGTAGAAATAGAATACTTCAAGGCAACGAGGTACCGAAAACTAACTCTTTATCTCACGTGGCATCAGTACAGAAACCTTTTTTAGTCAAAATGGCACTCTTTCTTGTAGCCAAATCCACTGTGCAGATGGCTTTGTTACGCCTCCATCCCAGTGCTAAATTAAAAGGTCCCTTCTTTAGTATCTTGAAAATCCAAAAGAATACAATTAGAGGGTGGAAGTATATGATTCAATTTCTTAGACAAAACACAGTTTTAAAGTTTCATACTGTTTGTTGCTTTCTTTTTCTTTTTTTAAGAGGGAGGAATTTAAGACTCCCTGGAGCCACATCTATATAGAAAATCAATCTTTAATTTGCAAGAAATGTTTTATAGTCCTTTTTATTAAATGTTTTTGGTTAAATTCTTTAGTGATTTGAAAAGACCAGTTACATGTCAGCATGACCTGGAAACTTTTTAGTGAATATGCACCATTCTTTCCCAGCCCCCAGCTGTGTTTGCTTTGGTATTATTTTATTCTTCCACCTATAACACAGTCTGGATGTCCACGGTTTGTATGCTCTGTCCGGCCTTTCAGCTGTCCACCAGGAGTGGAGAGGTTGCTGGGGCTTTGGGGAACTGTTCTTGAGGTCTTTCCCTAATTCTAATGAAATAATGCCTCAGAGGTTTGCTTCACCAAGGCTGGGGTGTATATAGGGCACAATATTCATTGTCCGTGTCTCATGGAGCTTTTCTTGGCTCGGCTGTAATAATCACTGCTTTCCTCATTCCTTGCCCACTTACTGATATGTCAGAGGCAGGAAAGTTGGCAACCTTGTTGACTCTTCTTGCCTGGGGGAAAGAGTCTTTTTTTTTTTTTTTTTTGAGACAGAGTCTCAAGCCGTCAGCCTGGATAGGGTGCTGGGTTGTCATAGCTCACAGAAACCTCCAACTCTTAGGCTCAAGTGATCCTCCAGCCTCATTTTTTTCTATTTTTAGTAGAGATGGAGTGTCGTTCTTGCTCAGGCTGGTCTCAAACCTTTGAGCTCAAGCAATCTACCTGTCTGGGCCTCTCAGAGTGCTAGGATTACAGGTGTGAGCCACTTCGTTCAGCTGGAAAAAGTCTTCTTGAAGGAAGAAAGGGTCCCCAAGGGAGGTGTGGGGCACTCTCAGCCTTCCTTCTGGTATACCTTTATATTTAATGCAGTACTTTTAAGGGTAGTGAGACTTTTCAGAATTCCCTCCTTATACCTCTCCATGTCCCATTCTTCTATTTGAAGAATAGATTGATTTTTAAAGCACCTTCTTTCTTTTAATTTGGTACAATTTTTCTTTTTCTGGGTGACACTTCTCAGAATTTATAGTATGAAACTGGAAACTTTTCTTGGTTTCAGGGTTGATGGCACGTTCTTTGTTATTTTTACATTTGATATTTGTTAATCTCACACAATTCTGGGGGAAATAAATTTTGTAAGCTTGCAGTTATATCACCAACTTCAGAAAAGTCTTGTAGGCTTTATTTTTTAACATCAGAGAAAAAGTAGCATTAAAACTACAGAGGAAAATGACTTGATGGGAATAATGACTATTTTCCCTAGATAGGCTTCCATAAAGCCTATGTGTGGGGGGAAAAACTATTGGTTGATTGTTCCCAACAAGGGTCTGCAGCTTGGAACACAACATGTAAGACAGATTTTTCCATTTCTCCTTTAGTTTAAAGCAGCTTAAACCTTTAGGTTTTTCAAGAGCTATAAAAAGCTTACCTGTGTAGAGGACTTTGTCTGATGATACAGCTTCAGAAAGCAGAAAGTTAAATGTTATATTAAAAAACAAATGCTTAATACTTATTGGCAGATGCCTAAGAGGTTCAACAAACAACAAGGGAGCCAAAAGGGGCCCTAGTTAGGACAACGTTAACACTAAAAGTGGAACCAGCCACACATTACACACTTTAGGATGATGGGAGAGGAGCGGAGCCAGATGCCAGCCGAGGCCTGGGAGGGTAGTCGGCCAGGACGTACAGTACAGAGTGGATCGACAGAGGAGAGACCCAGGCAACCATTTCTGAGGCTGGCTCAGAGGGAACAACTGAGGTACAAGCAAATAACTTTGGAGCGATGTTGCACACACCCTTGTTACTCATGTGCCAGCCAGAGCAATCCTTTTAAGACCAAAGTCAGATCATGTCATTTCACAATCAGCTCTGCAATGGCTCTCCATCTCCCTTAGAATAAAAGCCCTCGAAAGCCCTTATGATGTCCTATGTGGCTCCACATGGTCTGGGTATTGCTTTCTCCCTGGCTCACTCCAGCCACACTGGTCTCCCTGCCATACCCTGCACAGGCCAGCACCCTCTTGTCTCAAGGCCTCAGTGCTAGCTGTTCCCACTGCTGGGAATAATTGTCCCCAGATCTCACATGACTAACTTCCTCGTCCTCTCCACATCTCTGCTCAACTGTTACCTGTCTATGAGACCAGCCCTCACTAGACGATCCTCCACTTCCTGGTATTCTTGAGTGTCCTTATTAGGCTCTGTTTTTTCTCCTTCTTCCAGCACTCAACGCCTTCCCACACAGCTGTAATTTATACATTATGGTATAGTTTCTGCTCTCTCTTACTAGAACTTAAGGTCAACTAGGCTAGGGATCTTCATCTCTTTTGCTCCGTGGTCTAGCACAATGGCAAGGACACAGCAGCTACTCAATAATGTCTGTTGGCTGAATGAACATATCTGACTTCATCCTTCAAGCCTGCTATTGAATTTCCACTTCAGCTGTTGTGTTTCCCATCTTTAGGAGTTCATCCTTGCTCTTGGAATGTTACTTTTGAAAACATGTTGCTCTCATTTTATGAAGGCAACCCCTCATCCTTCCTCTCTGAGCACATGACTTAAGGTTTTATTTTCTACACTGCTTCCTGTAGTGCACCTGTTACCCCTAAATTCCATCTTCTCCTATTTGTCTCAGTCTGGGTTTTTTGTGCCTGAGGCCAGCCTTCCTCAAATGTCTGGGGACTACGGACAAACACTTGGAAGCCCTGTGTATGCTCTCATGGATGGTGGAATTCACTCTAGGGTGATTCAGTGGGGACCACCCATCGGGGGAACCCCAGCATGTCAGGATCATAAAGTGCTTTCTCTTTGCTGCCACAATTTTCAGAGTGCAGGGGCATGGGGAGGAGCTTGCCCTTTACTATCTGTACTTCCACTTACTATCTGTGGTTTCAATATGGTGCCAGATCCTCCTCTACCAAGCCTGCTGTCTGTAATCCTAGAGCTTCTCTGGTCCAGTTTCTTCAGATACTAAACTTCTTACTATCTATCAGAAAGAGACGGGGTCACTGCTCAGCTTTGTGAGGTCTGGGACCTAGGGGCCTAATTTCTTTTTACACAGGTTTTTAAGCAGCTCCTCCTTCACTGCCATTCCTCCCCCTTACCTACAAAGGCACCTGGTCCTTCCTACTCCTGCATCT